AATGCTTGCTTTCCCTCAGCCTGGGAACATGCTTAAGTTTCTCCCATTCCCAAATCTCTACCTTGATCTCTCGTCCCCTCTAACATCTACGACCTCTTGTCTTTCATCTAGACTTCTCAAAAAGCTCCACCATTTCCAGTTCTTCTACTGGATTTGCTTGAGGAGGTAATGACTGATCTCTTAACTGCTAAATCTAACATGTTCTTATCCTAGTCCTTATCTAATTACCCTCCTTTTTGTAACTCCTTACCCTACAATTTCTGTGACTCGCCTGCTTCTCCCAGCTCCATGACCATTGTTTCTGTTGCTCTTCTCTGCCTTAGTTGGCACCCTTTGAACGATGAACCTAAATCTGTATGTGAAATAAGGCATGAGATATTGTTAACAGGGGTTTCCTCCAGCCCTGAAACACCAAAAAGAGAAAAATCCAATTACAGTCAAAATAAAAGAAAGAGCTAGAGTGGTCTGAATGTGAAGAGAAGAGGCAAAGGGCCACTGTGCCTTTGAGAGCTACGCTGCCTTATGTCCCACTTGCAACTTCGTGCATCCTATTATTAAATAGAGGGGTTTTGAAACTACCATGTCACTGCACTGGATTATCCAACGTAACTCCACAGTGCCAACTCTGTAACTCTCTGCCTGAGACACAATTGTTTCTCAGGCTGAATCAGAGAATGTCTTCCGTAGGAAGCCAGCGTGGTTCTGGCACAACAAGAAAGCTGTTCTTTTGGTTTCAACATAGTCATCTGGATCTCTAGCTCATCTTAGGCAAGATTTCCACTCTTTCATGGCAGCTTCAAAAGTCGTTTTTTTTTTCCCTCCAGTTTTGTCTATATGATATTTGAGAGGACCACCTACGCTTTTCTCTCTGCCTTTTCCCTGTTCATTATCTTCCACTGAAGTAAGAGGTAGGCTCTGAGCTCATTGCCCCAAGGAAGGGATGAGGAAAGGCAGAAAGCTTCTAGGACAGTGCATAATGGGAACACAGAGGGGGCTCAATCCCAGCTACCAACTCTCCTCATTGCCCCATGCCAGGTTCCTGAGAGTACAGAGGTCCTGGGATCTGCCCCTCAACATTATCATCAAGAAGGTGGCAAAGCCCTAGGAGGGAGATGGCTTCTTGGGGCTTCTAGGCACATAGGATCAGAGGAGGACTTGCTTAAGATCCCTGGGTTCAAGCACGGCAAGGAAGCAACAGAAGGCTGCCAGACCTAAATAAGCTATGAGGTTAGGGACAACAGGCTTCTACTCATGGTCAAGTCAACCTGCAGCTCCAATGGCCAAAGACAAGGTTGCCCTACTGTCATACTTGGCAGTAAGACCAGGAGTTGTGACTCACCCTTGAATCATTCACCCTTGACTCACTCTTGAGCCCCAGAAAGACCTAAGCTTAACTTTTCCACCAGGTAGTAGAATAGGACCCAGAGACAGAAGTTAAGACATGTCAGTGAACATAAAGGCAGTAATATCTATTGGATTTCCAAGTTTGTGAACTGAGATTCATAAATAAGCTATCATCATCATCACCATAATCACCATCATCACCATCATCAGCAGCAGCATCATCATCATCACCATCATCATCACCATATACTGTGGAATTTCTTCACATACCCAACTGACAGACATTTCCAAAGTTGCCTCCGTTGTATGGGAGGATGGAAGGATCACCGGGGTCTTACAATTTTGTGGGGCATTATATTGTGGGGAAAGTGTGAATAGCACTGCCGGAGAACAGAGGCAACATCCCCGCCACTGTCACTGTCTTTATCGCCAGATCTCCTCCTGCTCCTCCCACGTCCGTCCGATTCACTTTAAACAAAATCACAAAGCTGCCATAGCAGAAGGACTGCTGGCACTCCTTGCCCTTAATGCATCCCCTCTAAGCAAGTAGCCCTGGTTGTATCAACTCTTGCATCCAGCTGCCACTCAGAGGAATAGATCTTCTAAAAATAATATTTTTCATGCAACGCTGCTGCTGCTGCCTCTGAGCTGTAACTAAATTTCCCTAATCCTAAAAAGCCTGTTTAGAAAGTTGGATGGCCTTGTTCTTCTCCGGTGCTTTGTTCTGGAATCACTGCTGAAGCAGAGTATTCAATGCAAGCACACGGCCTGCGTAAATCACTTGTGCCAGCCCAGGCTGCTCTCTAGGGTTGTGTGACTGGGTGACAACAAAGACTGTCCACTTGAGGTATGGGATTTCAAGGCAATGAGAAAAATAGAAACATTCCAGTCTCATAGACTCAGGAGCCTTTCACTTCTAACCCCCTCTGAAGCTAGAAGGCCAATGAAACAATTATTTTTCTCTTTAAGAAAGGTCAGAGTTTATTTCTAGGCCATTCTAGCACCAACAGAAAGTAAGATCAGAGAAAAGCCAGCATATTTACATCACTGTTCATTCAGCCCTCTACTCCACATTCGTCTCTATTACCAATATGAAGTATCCACTCATGTCACGCACGGTGCGTGAGTCATCGCATCCTTTTACAAACAGGGAAGCTGGGACGTGGAGGATGACTTCTAATGAGGAAGAATTGGCGCTGGAATTTGAACTAAGATGGGTCTGGTCTCCCCACTGTGCCGCACTGTTTCCCCGCCATTGCCTCTGTAGCCCATGACACTAACTAGTGCCCGAGTGGTTATCGAAGAGACCCACATTTTTCAGGGTCACTCCAAGTCAGAATGATCTTATAAAAACACAAATAAGGCCACATTACTCCACTGCTTCAGAGAGGCTAATGAATGAATGATCACACTTTGAATACAATCGAAATTCTCTTTCATGGTCCACAAGAGATGTGGCCCTTCCCTAACTCTGGAGCTTCCTCCACATGCTCCCCATCCCTTGCTCTGCTTCAGCCACCCTGCCTTTCCTTCTGTTTTTCAAAGTTCCCTTCATTCCTGCCCAGGATTCTGCATTGGTCTTTTCCTAAAGGTTCTTCTCACAGACCCCAAAGTGGCTGACATTACTCTGTTGAAATGTCAGCTTACAGCCTGGCGTTGTTTATATATTCATTTATTTACTGTCTGTGTACCTCTGGTATGAGGTAAGGTGACAGGAGAGGGACCATGCCTCCCATCCACTGCGCTATCCCCAGTGCTCAGAACAGGGTCTGGTACACAGGAGGTACTCCATAAATACTCAGTAACTGAGCTAATCTGTTATTAGTAGAAAAATTCAAAATGTTCATTCATCATCCTTTCACTGGTTATTAGTATATATTTGGCATTCACAAAATATTGATGGTTAATATTGGCATGAAATCTGATTTTGCCATTTTTATAGGCAACATGTAACGTTGTTTAATATAAATTCTCATTTTCCCCTCATATCCACAGCCATTCTAGATTCAGAATCTGTTTTCTATGTTACTGATAGTTTTTTTTAAAACAATATGATTTCCCATAAATATTTTATGTTGTCTATAGTTTCTTACTTTGATTGTTCAATTTTTGGTGACATACTGAAAACCATAAAGTTAAATAAGTATCTGCTAAATGGAATTGACTTACTAACAAGGTCCCAAGAAACCATGCTGAGTAAACGCCTGCTTTCAGTTGGCAATACTTACATGCAGTTTCAACTGTTCACTAGCTCCTGCCCTCTTGCTGCTAATGGTGACATCTAGACATATCAATCCTGCCCTTGGAATTAGCTCTGCCCAACCCTTTAAAGCAATTCTGACAGCATCAGGCTGCTAGTCTGGGGCTGAGAAATCACACTGACTTGGTAGGGCTTGTCTCCAACTCTGAACCGCACTTCGAATTGCCAGGCTTTCACAACATCCGTGACATCTGGAGGTGGCATCCTGACTCCACCACATATTGGCTATGTGGGCTTGTGTGAAATAATAATAATTTGAAAAAACTCCCCTAATTTCAGATTCCTTGGTTGTAAAATGGATCTCCAGGAAACACACATTGAGTCTTTACAACTGGCGTGCAGGAGGTTTGTCGAACATCATACCTCTAAGGGGTGAAGGGGAAGGACTGGGCAGAGCAGATGATCTGTGATGCTGCAACAGGGGACTCAGCTGAACCTACTGATGCTCTGGAGCTGGGATGGCCGTTCAGTGACGTTGAGACTAGGTATTGAACCTTGATAATTCACATCAATCAATCACAGGATACAGGCTGCCTGCAGGAGGAAGTGTGACCCTGGACAAGGTGGCTGTCTTTGGTTGAGAGCAATTCCTGATAGGGAGACAGGCAAGAGCCTTCAACTGTCAACACCTGCGGGGAGTGAATGCCTGGGTCTTTAATGTGGTGGGGTGGGTGTCTGGATGTTGCCCCGCAGCATCCACTATGTGGGGTTAGTCATTATTTCTTTGCCAGATTTCATGTGATATCAAATGAGATCATGTGTGTTGAATGAAAGCATCAAGCCGAGTCCCTGGCACTTAGATGGCACTCGCTAAAAATCTGTCACATGAATAAACAAAAATAGATGAATAAATGTTTTACTGATGCCACATTTTGTATGCTATTTCCTTTGTGTTACTGTCTGCCACATGTGTCTCTCTTTCACAAAGTATGTGGTCATAAAGGCTTAAATTTTCAGAGAGGCTCTACTTGGCTCTACTGCCAAGAGGGACCTGTCTCCATTTCACAAACTGATTCATTTTCTCACTGCTGTGATTGATCAGCTATACTTTTAAGTTACAGAAAGACCAAACTAAGTGGGCTGAGTTAGACAGCTACATGTTGGACCTTTGAGGACAGAATTTTGGGGATTTTTAACAACATGGTTAGGCTGACTGGAGTCTAACTTTTTACAGAATTTTTTTAAAAAATCACTTGTATTTTTTAGGCTCTAAGGCTAGCCAGGCAAGGTAATATTTTCTCATTATTTCATCTTAGCTGGCCCATATGTGAAACCTGCAGTAGACACAAGGCAGATGTAATACATCTGAATCAAGAGAAAGTCATACTACGTAGTTATTTCTTTCACAAAGTAAGAATTCACACTCCTCTTTATGGAATAGATCCCATATTTTAAAGAAATTCCTCCAATAAATACACTTCTTACACATATTAA